GCCGTCTATGCCACATAATACATCTTTTCATACCATAAAAATTATGTCTAAGACATTTTGTCGAAAAATGAATAGTTTCGGAAATAATTGTTTGCTTCCATACTTTTTCCCCACCCTGTATAATGATAAAAATATTACTTGTTATCTTGTCTCCGAATGTTTTGATTTTAACGACGATAACGTGACCCTAAAAGCTGACCGCGAATAGCAATATATAGTAGTGCTGACAGTGCCGATTCGGAAGTAAGTTTCAAATCTCCAAGTCGATTTAAATTTTGATTGACCTAGATTGAACACGGTTCTCGAAATATAACATGCGAGAAATCGAAACATTATATTCTCTGCCAAACATACTCTAAAGTTTTCCATCAACATGTTTTTTACTTGGTATTTGCACAAATAGCAATCGATCTCTCGCGTAGCGACGTTATATTTTAGAATAATTCGAGGAGCGGAGAAAAGGAAGAATTAGTATGTAACGAAACGTCCCTATCGTACACGGAACTTTTCGACGGTAAAGTCTAACGACTCTAGATAGTCTAGATGATTAAACGTGGCCGTTATCGCGTAATTAGGTAGTCGCGAGTTTTTAAAAATATAAAGACACGCGACGAGGAAGTAATTAGATTGCACAGCAAGGATCGAACATGTTAAAAAAATGGAAAGGAAATTTCCTTTCGAACGAAATCGAAATATTCTCGCTTTTAGAGACTTTGAGTGCGAGTTTAAAGCGTGGTGGATCCTCTACCTACGCCAAACATTGATCGACGGCTCGCGCCGCGCCGGTCGCGCGAGTCACTCGTAGAATTCGATAGAATTGTAGAAAACACCTTTCACGTGGCAAAGTCGGCAAAAGGGTTAAGGCGCCACACATTTGCAGCTGCTGCCATTTGCTGCTACTAGCCGCAAATAATAATTTGATAACATCTCCTATCTCTCTCTTTTCTGACATTCGATTCAATCACATACAATCGTTTCGGCTACGTTTCTTCCTAGCTAGCCTAGATGCTCTTATATTTGGAACTTGGCGAAAGGTACTTACTTAATTAGATAGTACGTGACTCTCGTCACGTGTAATATCTTTAGTGTAATATCTCCCGCATATATCTTTACATCGCGAGTAAATGATGACATGTGCGCTTGTTTGTTAACGTCGAGATAAATTGCCGTCTGTAAGTACTTGTGTAAATAAAATATCGCGCATGGTGCATTCGTAATTTATAACGAGACGTCCGGTCTTTGGACACATGACGAACATTTCAACGCGATGCTCGCAGAGACGAGACAGGAAATCAACGTAACTTTGTCATTTGTTTGTACGACAGTAACCGGCTTGGTTAACTTGGTTTGGTAGAAGGAAGAAAGGATGGAGAGAGCTAGGAGCAGCCAGGAATATCTACAAGGTGGTAGCGCCGATTGATACTGGTATCGGAGCACGCTGGAGCACGCTGGAGCACGCTAAAGCATGCGGTGGCCGCATCGCGAGGGAATGCGAGGAAACGAGCCACGATGCACCTGAATGCACCTGAATGCACCGGAGCAGGTGACCGGTGACCGGGGAAAGAGGAGAGAAAGAGAACAGCGTCTATTGGCGACACATGCGACGTACTTACGCACGAGCAAATGTCCGTTTCAAGGGTTTCCCGAGGCTCGCCTTGTGCGTCTCGAGGGATACGTCTACATCATAAACATGCCGCGAAATCTCGATGGAAGACCTCCAAGATTGACGCAATACGGACGCGCTGCAGCATCGATTAGCACGGACGGCGAAACGAACAATCTCTCTCTCTCTCTTTCTCTCTCTCCCTCTCTCTCTCTCTCTCTCTCTCACAAAGTCGCAAACACACCCACGACTGATCCTCCGTGGAAAACGCAACGATATGACATATTACGATCCACCACGGCAGTATCACCGAGAACCGATCACGTTCGACTCCAATCGACTCTCTGCCTGCGAGCGTTGACGTTAATAAACTGACCAGTGCTAACCAATACTTGCCAGCACTCGTAAGCACTCGCCAGCCACTCGTCAGCACTACCCGGGACTATTCAGGGAGGGTGACAGTGACTCCGGGCCGGGATGCCTCATGCTCCGGGAACAGCTCGACACGCTCGACACGAGCACGAGACGCCATCGACGCCTGACACCGTACGCCCCCGGAAACTAATACACTAATACGGAAGAGACCGAAACTCCTTCGGTAACGTCACCAATATGTCACCGTACTCTGTGCTGTAATTTTATCGACAAAATTCGAAGGAAAATGAATGTAGCCGCACGTAGTACCCAAACCGAAAATGGATGTACTGGCGGTAGTGTACGGCCAGCTTTCTCTCTGGACACTTTTCCCACCCCACTTCTCATTCTTTTCACTTCTCAGTTTTCCACCACGCGGCAATTGGCGTATATCGGCGTATATTGGCGTACGTGATACGATATACGATAACGGCTAGTGATAGTTAAATCAGTATAATAAATGCTCCTTTACTCTCTGTTTCATCGAATTTGTTGATACCTACTTATATTTATCTGGCTGCTAAGAACTGGTATTCTACCGTTATAATTTTGTCTTCGACATGATATTATGTTGTAATTCTTTTGTCGAGGATGCGATAAAGGCAATCGCTTTCTCAGATACGAAGTGGCAATAAATTGAGTCGCAACTGTCGAAAGTCCAAACAGAGGCCAATTTCAAAAAGAAGAACAAGAAGAAATATATACTATCTGCATCGCTTCTCAAAATGTCCCAACAAAGTGCTATCGTCCAAACAACGACGGCGACTACGACGGTCTCGGAAATGACGCCGGTGCTTGGAACTCTACAGTCCGTGGGACCTAATAGTCAGACGCCATCGGTTCTGCCTAACGTGCAAAGCGGCACTACGACAACCGCTGTACAGCCACAAACGCAATCCCAACAAACTCAGTACGTTCCCCAACCTCCGAAATCGGTGCAGCAGTCGTCCACTCCAAGTTCTTTTAGCGATTTTCCACAAGTACGTAATCAATGAGAAAATAAACCTTGAGTAGATTACTCGTATACAGTACACACGCTTGAGATATCTTTTTTTTATTACAAATATAACATTGTACAGAGTTTTTTGTTCTACACGATGTAATTTGTTGTCTCTCTTCGTTGACCACAAGTATTCTTTGATAAAATTTTCCTCTGTTGACATAACGTAAGTACTATTATTTGATTTTAGTTTTTAACAAAAACGAGGCTACAAGATTTGGTAAGGGAAGTAGATCCCACTGAACAGTTGGATGAAGAAGTAGAAGAGATGCTGTTACAATTAGCAGATGACTTTGTAGAAACAACGGTAAATGCGGCTTGTTTGTTAGCTAAACATCGTCATGCAAACACAGTGGAAGTTAAAGATGTACAGTTACACTTAGGTGAGTTATGCTAATAGCTATATCATTTTTCTCATTTGTTGTTAGAAAAAAAAGATTAATTTATTAAAAATAAATAATAAATTTCCTTTATATACGAGTTACAGCAGCATATATATAATTTGTTACTTTTTTATGATAAATTTTGCAAAAACATATAGATATATGAATTTGAGCTATTTATATTTTAATTTTTAGGAAGAAATTGGAATATGTGGATTCCTGGGTTTGGTACAGATGAAGTTCGTCCATACAAGCGAGCTACTGTCACTGAAGCACATAAACAAAGATTGGCGCTTATACGAAAGTCTATCAAGAAATATTAATTCTTTTGTGAATTAGTTTTTCACTTTCGAAAATTAAGAACTTGTATTTTATATATTTTTAATAGTCTCTCAACTATTATACTGCTATAGTTTTGCGACAAAAATGTTCATCTTGTACATAATTTTTCCTTTTCACACACCAGTCGCGTTTCTCTTTTAAATACTATTTTACTATAATACAGGCGATAAAAATAGATTAGGTGTAAAAACTGTAAATTTCTTCAAATTTATGCTATAAATGTGTAAATATTTCTATACAAACGACTACCAAAATGTTCCCAATATATGTAAATAAGTAACATCTTATTGATTCTACTTTTTTTTTTAATGTACATGTAAGTATGTAAAGAAAACTACACGATAATCTTCAAAGCTGGGAAATTATCAACTGTTTTTGTATTGTTATATTTCTCTTTTGAAATGACGTTGATTGTGTTACTTTTTTATATACTCAAATGTGATGGAAATATCTGTTTTGCTCTAAATACCACCCTTTGTAAGAGGACGAAAAAATTGAAATATACGTTTTTTTGCATAATACTATTTAAAAATGCAGAGAATATATTGTAAATTATATAGAAACCGTCTTATACAGATGTTACACGAATAAGGCGAAAAACAGCGATCATTCATTCGCAATATATAAACATCATACAAATATATTATAAAGAAAACGTTTGCAAGCAGATTTCACATGTAGCACGTATTAAAAATATATAATCTGTGTTCACACGTACGCCTATATATCATTATACATATGCGTAATAATTCAAATAGTACTGACAATATATTTTCAGATCGCATTGATTCTTTTTAATTTTCCATTAATATTATTAGATATATCGTCTATAATATATATTCATCGATTCTCAAAATGTTTCTCGAAATGTTTCATTCTCTATACACGAAAAGTTTCGAGAAAAATACGCTTAGAAGTCGAGACCTTATTCTGATTCTCAAGTTGTAAATATTGTGAAACAGTTAATAAAAATTCGAACATTTTGCAAGGGCAGCTACTGCTAATCGCACTTAAAACGATCCATCAGAACAATCCTATATCTTTCTTGAGATTCACTTGTTTCCAGACTGGAAGCTGTTGAAATTCTTCTTTGCTCATTCCCAGCAACTCCTATAAATTACAAAATATCACATATGTGTATATACATATATAATATTAAAAACATTCTGTCTAACATCTGTTAATCTATATTCGTAGATTATTCGTCGATTACATGATTATTCAATTGCTATTGATCAATCGATAATACTAACTTGAAAGTGTTGTTGGGATAAATACAATTCTAGGCATGTTGGATCGACTCCGTCGGGTAGAGGTCTTTGTAACAGCTGGGCAGGAGGATATGTACTTTGCGTTAGACGAGCCAATTCATTTTCCACAGTCAATACTTCTCCTGAATTCCGGCCATCCTAGTAATATGTTTTATAAATATACGTTACATTTTGTGTACATATTTAAATTTTATTATGACAAAAATCACACATGATCAAAATGTATCAAACAGAATTCTTTTATTTATCTAAAATGTAAATAAAGGTAGGATAGTTGTTATTTTCAAGTAAGATCTTTTCTTTCTCTAATAATAAACTATATAAAAAGTATAAAAAGATTTGAACAGAAAAGAAAATAAGATATGTCCTTTTCTCAATATACCTCTATATTTAATTCAGCAACGTCATCCCGATACGTCCATTCCGGAAAAAGATTTGTAAATTGCAACGGTTCTAAACCAGCCCATATTAAATATATTGGAAGATTCGTTGTTTGTGCGTTTCGAGTCTCTCGCCAATATCGTATCGCTATCTTCATGGCCGCTCTTCTCTCAGCCTGCCATCGGACAGTTTTGCTTCCAGACTGATCTTCCGTTTCACTATCGGGCCACCATCCTTGCCAAATCCAAATCACATTCTTGTCATCCAATAAAAATAAGGCTAAAAGTTATACAAGAGTCAATAAAAGTGATTATAATATGGATAAATAATTTTACTAAAACTTCTCATAAATAGTTTTTCTCATAAAAAATTGATTAACGACTAAATACGAATAAAATGCACTTTGCAAAGACATTATTACCTGGTTGATTTGCTTGATACAAATCATCTTGTGAGAAAGGGAACGGTGTTGGCAGGTCCGCACGATATGGACAAAGTATTTCTGTTGCGCGGAATTTTTTAGAAACACTCGATAAATGATAAAGCTTTGGAGTATGATCTTGTATTTCAGCTGTTTCCAACGACCAATACAATTTTTTATTTATGCCACCTAATGCTAAAAAATGCAAAGTACAATCTCAACTTTTTCATGACAATGTACAATAGAATAAATTTAAGAAAATATGTATTCGTTCTATATTCAGCTTAAATGTTAACTTTTCATTAAGCTTTACTCACCATTGCTAAATTCTTCAGATTCCATACCTTCTTGAACTTCACATATTTCTATGTTATTTTTATTCGATAATCCAATTTCTTCAGGTCGATTTTCTTTCAATTTATTTGCAGCTTTTAATGCATTCTATAAAAAGACAGAAGAAATAATGAATATTGGAGAGACAAACGAAACTAAGAAATATGGAGATGATCAAAATAGATACATAGAAAATAGATAAATAAAGAAAGAAAACAAGATGAGAAAGGAAGTGAGAAAAAAAGTTATAAGAAAATTATAAGAAAGATTATTCCATTCTGTTAAGCAGCAGATGAGAGTAATATGATTAAAACATTTGGAAATAATAATTTTATATGATTAAAATGTTTTCTAGATTGCTCGATTAATCAATTCGTTTACTGTTTTTGTTTGTTATATATTGTTTTTCTTTTGCATGTGTAGTACAAACCCAGTGGCTAGTAAAGTATTAAATTTATCGCAATGTTAATCCATGTATGTACAACCGATCATAGAAAAATTACAACACTTTTGTTTTGATGGGTTTCAGAATGCAGCTTGCTCACCGAGTGATTGGTTCTTTATGGATTTAACCATTTTCGTTTAATCGCTCTACGAGCAAGGCTGAGTTCCGAAATCTAAAAAAAGTGTTGCAACCTTTTTGTGACCGACTGTACATATATTAATTAAATTATATGTGCAAATATATACAGGGTGTCTCGGAAAATGTTACCGAAACACAGTGGTGACATAGATTGGATCAAGGGGAACAAAACAGTTTTGTACCATTTTGCAATTGACGCAATATTTAACGAGATATTAATGTTTAAAGATAGGCGAATACGTACATTTTCTGAGACACCCTGTATATTAATTATATATATATTATAAAAATTTGTAGGAAATATACTTCTCTAATATGGCGCAACGAATTGCTTCCATGCCAGATATATAGTTTTGCATTTTCGGTGTTTAGCAATATGAAGCAACCTCTACTTCTTAATTGTCGAGTACTACAAGGAATTTCAATCAAGAATGTCTCATTCTCTAAAGTTCCTCGGCAAATATACAACCTCCATCGTTTCTCACATTTTTTGTCAGATTTCTTGCCACTGTGCACCATCATCCTTCCAGAGAATAAATTTAAAAATGCGGCTGGTTCGTGTCCTTGAATAACATGAACCTGCAAGTATATATATATATATATATATATAAAATGGAACAAAATATTATTTTGTTTATAATAACAAAACATATTTCTTGATATTTTGTCCAATATTTTATTTTTAGTAGATATTAAGTAGGATATTTTTTTCCACTTAGAAAACAATTTCAAAATTGAAATAAAATTATAAGTAACATTATGTAATAATATAGCCAGTATTCGAAGATAACGATTAAATACACTAAGATAATTCGAACAAATAAAATAACTGTAATAGCAAATTTGATTGCACATTACTGTCCTCACCTGAGGACCTCGATTGCTGTCTAATTCGATTGTTAATAATGCCGCGGCCCCTCGTTCATTCAAAGATGCATTTCGACCTTGCCAAATAAAGTATACAGATCTATCGCGACCTTTTGCTGAGTGTTTAGATGGTAAACCACTGAGTTCTCTGCCTAAGAGCATAATAAACAAATTTGTAAAAACAATTACATAATTAAAATGCACTTGCTTATTCATAAACTATCTTAAATCCATATTCTCAAAAAATAAAGATCATGTAACAATTATACAAAACTAATGCCTATAAAAGAAAAATATTAGGCTTGTTTTTTTAAAAATCTATGATTAAAACAGTTTTTGAGATAAACTCTTCTATTTTACGAAATTGCTTAATAAACAACTCACCAGTAATTGTAACGGAATACGTCCACTGAATGATATAACTATCACCAGAATAAAATTGACCAATAGATGAACCGTCTAAAAGCGTGTGCGAGAATTCATCGATATGCCATACCATAACGTTCGTTGTAGTAACGACATATTCTTTCTTCAACTAAAATCAAATCGAAAGAAATCAATGATCGTTAGATTTGCCTGTGAATCGCGGACATTTATTGTGAAAGAGTTGTTTTCTTCTGGATGAAAATGCATTGAAAGCAATAGTTGAAGTTTGATAAATATAATTATTTTGAAACTAATATATCCCGTTTTTACTAATATATTAGACGCAAAAACTTTTTGCTAATAAAAAAGAATTACTTCATTGTCATAACAACCAGTGCCTCTGCCTAAGTGACAGCCTTCTAGAATAAAATCGACTGAAGAAGAGTTTGGTAGCCACATGTCGTCGTTTTCATCCGGATGCACAGTTATAGCACTGTCAATTTGTCGCGCATTATCGTTTCGGCCTCGCGTCTTTACCACACCGGTGACATTAGGCCAGTCGAGGAATTTCTCACGGAATAATATCGTTTCGACGTGTTGCGTCAATTTGGCAAGTAAACACCATTCGGGTCTGCTTTTGGCGAATTTTGCAGAGGGACTTGTACAAGAGTCACTGTTTCGATTACCAATCATACGGGCAGCATTAATCGGACAAGCAGTGCACTCGCTGTAATCATATCCGTTGTTCCACATTTCTGTAGCCAACTGTGTAGCGAGTCTCTTCTTGTCCGTCGAAATTCCTTTGCCACTCCAGATATACATCTCGGTGCCAAAATCGAACACTAGAATCTTTATAGAACATATACAAAAAACGTATACAATATAATTCCTCTTTATATTATTACAGAACAATTTTTATAAAACAAATATTTAATTATAAAATGCAATTATCTTTAAAA